CGCCACTCGGGTCCACGAAGGTCACCACGAGGCGCTCGGTGGCCGGCGGCACCTCGATGGTGAAGTCGCCCTGGTAGGAGGTGAAGCCGATGGGAGCGCGGCCCAGCAGGATGTGGGCGAAGCGCAGGGGCTCCCCAGAGTCCGCAGCCACCACGCGGCCCCTCACCAGCCCCCGACGGGGCAGGCACTTGCGACAGCCACACTCGGCCACCACCTTCACCGGGAGCACGTAGCCGGAGCAGCGGATTTCCCTGCTCTCCAGGCGCAGCACTGAACAGCAGCGAGAGCCCGCGTCCCCACAGCGAGGGCTGGAGCCCACGGGGCCCGGGCAGCGCGTGTCCGCGCACAGGCCCACGTCTAGGTATGCGGGGCTGTCGCTGGACTGGCCACAGTCGTCCGGAAGCTTGATCAAGTGTTCCTGAGGTCGGGGGTCGCAGGCTGGCTGGCCGGGAGCTGGGAATTCCACACAACCAGGTCAAGGGAGGGGGACTGAGGTTGGGGGCGCGGGCTGGGCTCAGGTGGGGCGAGACCGGGCCGCTCACCGAGCACAGTGAGCTGGGCGGCGCGGGAGCGCACGGCGCCAGCCTCGTTCCAGGCCTTGCAGTGGTACTCCCCTGCCTGGTCCCCGCGAAGCCCCCGGAGCTCCAGATGCGGCCCAGACCCGTGCTGGCGCCGGTCCAGCAGGGTCCCGTTGTGGAACCTGAAGAAGGCAGTAGGTGGATGACATTGTAGGGACTACTCTGTTACTAGGGCTAGGGAGTGGTTTCCTGAAGCTCAGCCTTCTCCCTGGGCCTCTCTGCATTCTGAACAAAGGAGAAACGGAGGTGGGCATTCATTCTCTCCTAGGAGGGTTTTGTTTCGTTGAGACACCGCTGTGTACCCCAGGCTGACTTTGAACTCTTGATCCTCCAGCCTCTACAGGCTGGCCCATCAGGCCTGCTCTGTTTTTCCAATTCTGAGACATGGTCACACCACCATGTAGCCCACACTACTTCAAGCTCACAACAATCCTCCTGCCCCAGCGCTGGGATCATGTGTTCACCACCGCACCTTAGGCCTTATAAGTACCACAGGGTTACAGAACTCCTACTAACCCAAAGCTGGCCCCGTTCCCTGAGTTCGTGAAGACACTCACCAGGAATATTTCTTAGGCATGGGGGTCCCCGAAGCCTTGCAGCAGAAGGTCACCTTCTGACCTGCCTCCCGCACTCGGGACTCGGGGTGCTTTAACAGGTATGGCTTCCCTGAGGGGATAGGAGGTGGCCAAGTTCATGACCCTGCTGTACCCCAGAGACCCCTTTTTACTCCCATTCTCGCAGGGACAGCCCGCCTCACCCTGTGCTGTCAACAATTGAGTCACATCTTGTTTTTCCCCTGGCTTGGAACATCTTCCTCTGTCACTCACTCCCATGTTCTTGGCTGCAAGGACACTCACCTAACTCTTTAAGGACGATGGTGACCACGGCTGAGTTGGAGCTGTTGGCATGGGCCTGGGCTGTACCAGCAGAGAAGCCGTTCATCTGGGCACTGACATTGGCCTGGCTGCCAGCGCAGACTCCAGGCACCCGGAAGGTTCCATGGGTGTCACTCGTGGTTACTATGCCAGGTCGGGCTCGAAGGAAGACCCTGGCTCCTGCCAGCTGTCGCCCAGATGGGGTGACCACTGAGCCCAAGAGGATGTGGTCAGGGCACCCGCAGGTGTCAGAGCTACACCCTGGGGGGACATGGGGTGGCCAGGGCAAGAGAACTCAGTCATTCAACAAACATGTTAGCCACCGCCCCCACCGCCCCGCCCCCATCGATTCCCCTCAGGCTTCGGTGTGGCTGGAGTGAGCCTGGAGACAGGGATGAGTGGGCACAGCTGGACCAGGGGGAGGAAGCTGGGTCCAGAGATGCAGGGAAGAAACTCCAAGGAAGGGACCCCAAGAGGCTGAATCATAAAAGATGGTGAGGACATCCTCGGGAGCACCTAGGCAGGGGTTGGGAGCCGAGGGGCTGCCTTGGACAACATCTGTCTCAATGCTGCTGCTTCTCCACAAGATGGAAAATTACAGCGGAAACTTGAGAGCAGAGGCGCCAGGTGGGGTGGGGTCCCCACCGTTGGCCACCTCGTGCCCTCACCCTATGAGGGCCCAGCTGCCACTGTCTGCAGACCATGTTTGTGGAGCGCAGGCCCGAGTGGAATTTCCAGTCCCCTTCTGGCTGGCCTCCTGGGAGGGCCTGGGCATCATGTCTGCCAAGGTGTGAGCGCGTGTCTGCGTGGGCGAGCAGGACAGGCGGAGACTGAATGCTGAATGCGTGCACTCAGAGTATGCCACTGGATTCAGTCTGCACACGGGGCTATCTGTGTGTACGCTAGGGGAAATGACCCCTCGAGTCTGCCCATGCCTGCCCGGCATCCACCTAACCCTTTGCATAGTCTCTTTGCAGCGAGTTCAGGGCCTAGGATTCTACGCCCAGTCAAATCGCGTTCGGTTGTGCGCAGTCACGGCCCAATCGGGCAAAGGAGGAAGGCGGTTGCCAGTATTGGACCCTTCGAGGCCGACCTGGGTCCCAAGCCACTTACTAGTCTGGCCTTTTCAGGCCCTGCCCTTCAGGGCCCCCACTAGTCCAGCCCTCTGGGCTCCTCCTTATGTAGGCCCCACCTCTGACCGTCCCCTCTGCAAGTCCTGTCCCTCCTACCTGGGCACCGGGACCTCACGCACTTCTGCGCCTCCTGGGGGCTCCCAGGACACGTATCCCCAGACGAGCTTTGACAGCTGCGGCGGCGCAGGCGACGGCCTGGACCGCAGCTCTTGGAGCAGAGACCCCACGCGCCCCATGCGCCCCACGCGGCCTCTGCGGAGCAAGGGGGAAGATGAGGTGGCGCTGCTCGCCCCTGCAGTGGGCTCTCTGGACTATGCGAGTCGGGTTCCCCAGGCAGATAGTACTGCCAGAGCCCACCCCGGCTCCCTGCCAGGTGCGTTCCTGGTTAGCCCTGCTGTTTCCCATCGATGAACACGATGGAGGCTCAAGCCATCCCCCAGCACTGAGCTGTTCAGGACGGGCCTATGGGATCCTGGCATGCACTACGTACCACCTGGGCCCAGCTCCTCCCCTCAAACCAGTGCCCACAGAGTGATAGGTATATCTCATCGAAGCCATGCCCACACGGCCCCACCTGGGTGGACATCCAGGCCCTGCTTTCACTGGGACTTACTCCTCAGGGTCACACTTTCTATGTCCCCGCCCGCCCAGGACCACTGGCCGCGCCCTTACCCAGTGGGCAGCGGAAGCGCACATGGTAGTTGGAGCAGCGGCGGCCTCGCAGCTGCTCCCGATTGAGACACCAGAAACCGCGTGCTGGGTTGGCATGTACCCGCTCGCCCACGGAGGCCGGTAGCGCCCAGTCTGTGGTGCGCGCCTCCAGCGCCAGCGGCCGTGGGCACACGCGCGCGGGGCCGTAGTAGAAGCGGATGGCGGCCAAGCTCTCGAAGTCGCCATCTCCTCCCGGGTGGTCCACGTTGAACCACGACGTCCACTCGCTGGCCTCTGCGGGCACCGCGTGCTGAGCCCGGGCCCCCACCTCCCGCCAGCCCCTGCAGCTTGGGGCCCTTGGGTCAGGGCTTCCAGGAGCTGCGATGTCCAAGGACTCCTCACTCTCCCCACCCTCCCCCATAACCCCACCAGGCCCGAGTCACACAGGCCGGTTGCAGAGGCGACTCACCCTCCCAGTCCTCCAGGGCTGGCGAGGGCTGGCTGGGGTCTGGCGGCCGTCCTAGAAGACCCCGGGCGGCTGCAGTGCGCTCCTCGGTAGAGGTGGCGTCTGTAGGAGTGCAAGGAGGTGCGAAACGGGGACTACTGAGACCCCCTTCCTGGTGCAACAAGGGAGTCAGGACCACTGCGTTTCATGGGGTAGGAAACTGAACTCTAGCCCTGGGTACTGCAGCGCCATCCCCTCGGCTGCTAGACCCATTACTAGCAGCGGACCCTGAAGCCCTATCCCTCTCCACCGGTTGGGTGACTATGTCCCACTCTGCCCCTCCAGGCCCAAATGTTCATCAAATACAAGTTTAGTCGCATGCATTTGGCGGTGCGTCTGCCTGCAGACCGCTGCCTTCTCTTCCTGAAGTTCCTCCTGCTCTACTCTTCCCGGGCTTTCTAGGGAGGCTCAAGGTACCAACAGAGAAGTACTTGGCTTCTCTGGCCTCCAACTTTCCAAGATGGACTAGGAGGGGTGACAGGTTTAGGCGAACCCCTTCTTCCTGGAGCCCCAGTCTTCTGAGAAATGGGCCTATCACCAGCTCGCGGGGGGACGGCTCCGACCACTTCGCACAGGTTTCGAAACCTGGCGATTTAGGGTTCAAAGCCTTGGCCTGGTGCTCTATCCCGGGAGAGGATGGAAGAGGTCCCTTTCAGCCGCTTTCTGCGAAGCTCATGAGATGCCTCCCACCCCATTTTCTGCGCGCAGGGTGGTCACTCTCGGAGGTCCCGGGCCATCTCACCTCGCGCTCCCGCTAGGTGCGCGACTGCGATGCAGAGACAGAGCAAGGGCAGCGGTGATGCCATCGCCAGGTCGCAGCGGCTCGGCGAAGCGCTCGGATCCGACTGGGGCGGGTCCGGTGGCTACTAGGGACTGATGGGGGCGGGACGCGAACGTAAGCCACGCCCCTGTAAACCATAAGAGGTTGCTCTTCTTCGATGCCTCCTGAGGTGCCTCCGCCCTCAGACTGCGCTGTGTTCCGCCTTCCCCCTCCGCCTTCTCCAACTGGGTCCTGCGCCGCGTGGGAGGCGCCATTTGGTCTTAAACTTGAAGTTGCTTCGGCAGCTGGAAGTTCTCTATCGCGTTTAACTTAAGTACTCTTAAGTACTCTAGGCCACTCCCGACAGCCTGCAAGTCCCACCCAGGTCTACCCTCTATTGTAGGAAGCTCTAAGGCACAGCTCCTCTCCTCAAGCCCCGAGGGAAGTTCCTTCTCCACCCGCCCACCCCCTGGTCTGGCGCACAAAGGAGGCAGAGGAAAAGGTGGTGGTGATGTTTATTGGTGCGGGTCCCAGCGCGCGCCAGTCACAGCGCGGCCACGCAGTCGGTGCCGGTATATTTTGGCAGGCGCAGGCCAAACTTGCGGCGCACATCCTCCGGCACGAACCTGCCGGCCACAAAGTGGTGGCGCCCGGAGAAGCGGCCGGCGCAGCTCTTGGGCGCTGCGAAAGACACTAGCACGTCGGGCTGCACCGCGTCCTTCGCGTCGCCGCCGGCCTCGGCGTCCCAGCCTGAGGGCGGAAGAGGGGGAGCTGGGAGGACCGCGGCTCCCGGACCGGGTCTGCCCTGTCTCCCTCCAGGTCCGGTGCCTTAACCTCCGACGCGTGGGTAGCGGTCAGACCTGCTGACCGCAGAACCGCCTCCACCCTCGGATCACACCGTTTCCTCCGCCTGTCTGGCAAGACCCAGCCCCTGCCTTCGGATCCGTACCTCCCGCCCCACCGGACAGAAGCCGCTTTGCTCAGACCAGTCCTTCCTCACTCCCAGCCCCTTCGTCTGACTTCAGCCTCCCTTCTCGGATCAGGTCCCCACCCTGTACTGTGGCCTGAGACCTCCTCCCTCAGAACTGTGCCCCTACCTCCCCACCGGATTTGATGTCTTTCTCCAGCCTAGGACGTCTTAGCCCTCTGGCCCACCCCAAACCATCCAGGAGTCTGTCAACTCTGTCAGGGGACAAGCACTTCTCTCCTTGCCTCAGGCACTAACCGGAAGCTGCCTGCACCTCTCTCTGACAAGAGGCTTCCAACTGCAGGGTTCCTCCCCGCCCCCCGCCCCGTCCACCTGCAGCCTACCCCCCCTTCCCAGACTAGATATGCCTCGGCCTTGATCTAGGATGGCTCTGGGGCCCTCCAGCTGGGGACATTTCCACGCAGCCTCCAAAGAGAGCTGGGAGCTGTTTGTCCCTGGCAGGCGTGGTCTCTTGAGGAGTGAGCTCACGTCTGCCCTGTAGCAGGGCCAGCGGTGGGTGGTGCCGGTTTAACTGGGCACTCGGACCAAGAGGACACCGGGTCACTTGGGGCAGCCACTTGTAACTTCCCCATCCTTAGGATGGGCGTGAAACAGGATGAGGGCATACACGGAAACTGAGGTTGAAAGAGTTGGATGGGGAAAACCTAGGCTAGGGGCGGGGAGGTGTGCAAACGGGGGACACTGAGTCTGGAAGAGATGGATAGGGAAAACCGGCTAGGGTGATCAGGCTGCCCCTGGGTGGCATGCCTGAGGGGACGTCCAGGCTCACGAGCGGGATGGAAAGCCGCTTCAGCGTGGCCAGCGCCCGCGCGCAGGGCCCGCCCGCCTCCGCCGGCCGCACTCCGGGGCCTAGCACTGCGTCCACCACCAGCCCGTATGCGTCATCGATGAGCCGCACCTGTGGAGGGTGGGGAGGTGTCAGGGCCCTGGATGGCAGAAGGCCATGGCGGGGTCAGAGTGGGTGCAGCTGACCTCGGCGGGCAGGAAAGACAGGAAGGGGATGTCCATCTTCTCGCACTGCGTGGTCAGGTCGCGGTGCAGCGCGTCGGCTGAACGCACCGGGCAGAAGATGCTGGGCTGGTACTCCTGGGGGAACCCGGGTCCGGTGATGGCTGCAGCGGAACCCCAGCCCCAACTCTGTCCGCCCCCCCCCCCCTCCATAGGACCCTGCTACTCACGAACACCCGAAGGTGCCGGGCACATGCCAGCCCCACAGCGCCGTTCTGTTCCGGACCGCAGATGACCAGCACCGTCCTCTGCTTGCGGGACAGCGAGGGCAAGGGGAACGCCTGCGACACAGCACAACAGGGTGGCTGGATGGTGGGGAGGGGACTGAGGCAGAGGGACGGAGCCGTGGTCAAGAGGTGGTCTGCGTGCAGGGCAGGTTGACTCCGTCCACCAGACTGGGGACCCGCCTCTGAGCCCAGGCCCAGTGTGGTTTGTTTACTCCATACACACTTTGGACACATCCCCACTTTCCTTGCTTGTAACCCCCAAGTTACAGTGAAAAGTGGGGTGATCCCGGAGGGAGGTCCGCAACTGGGCAAGCATGGCGCCTAGACCATCTGTCTGTATTTCCTATCTGTTTGCCTTCTATTTCAGAAGCTCAGTCTGCACGGTTTGTTGTGTTATTGTTTGAGAGGTTCTCGCTCAGGGTGGTCTTGAACTTACACCAATCCTGCTGCCTCAGGTCGCCAACTGCCAAGTTGGCAGTTGTGAGCCTCCACGAGGGCAGCCTGGACTACCGAAGAGGGCCAGTGAGGTGGCTCAGCAGGTAAAGGAGCTTGCCACCAAGCCTAGGGAGGGACCCGAGTTTCTTTCCTGAGACCCACATGGTGGAAGAACATTGGCTCCACAAACTGCCCTCCGAGCTCCACATGCTCACGCTCACGCCGGGGCAGGGCAATAAATGTAATTTAAAAAAAAAATTTAAAAGGAGAGGCGGGACACAGGCAGAGAGGGGACATACTCTTCCTTGGGTGTCTGCATTTATAACCGAATTGCCCCAAGGCCAGGCTCAGTGGCCTCACAGCCAGCACCTCTGGGGTGAATGAAGGTTTAGCTGAGCAGGACACATGTAGTTTGAGTCCTGCTTCAGACCTCATTTGACCACGCTGCTCGTCTACGGACCCGCTTCCTCGTGGGAGCATTTAGGGGTGTTCAGATGTCTGTCAGGTAGGTCATACTTCTAGGGGACCCAGGCCTGCTCTTTGGGGGCCCAAGCCCCACCCTGTAGGTGTTCCCCCATCTGCGTCTCCGGGGACCCCACTTCTGCCTTGTCTGGCAGTGAGCCTGAAAATGAAGCCTTGTACTTCAGTTTCCCCTCCCCAGCGATGAGTTGAAGTAGCCCCAAGCAAGGGAGCTGGTACCTTCGTCACGGCCACCGCACTGGCGTGCCCGCACAGTTCCACCAGCTGCTGCCGCCCAAAGCGATACTCGTCCAGCAGCTCGCGCTCCAGGGCGGCCGCCTCCGAGGTGCTGCGGGCAGAGTCGGGCAACACGCTCAGAGGCAGAGGAAAGGAACAGACTCGAGGAGGGCTGCCCAGACCTGGCTGAAGGCTCTGGCCCGCCCTGACCCACGAGGAGCTTCAGTGGCAGGTCCATCATCTCTTGCCCACTTTCCCCATCCCACAAGCATGGTTTGAAATGGCAGCCTCAGCCAGAGGCGCGCACTCTGGTGGTGAAAGATACACATGTCGCTCAGCGGTGGTGGTTTCCCCCCCCAAAGCTGAGCGACCCAGAATCAGAAGGAAAGATTCTGAATGCAGACTGATTCCCCTACACTGCATATCCCAGGGTGTCATCGAACATTCTCCTCCCTCAGATTTATAACTGGAGTGCCCACACACTCCCAAACCTTAAACGGATTTGATAAGGAGGTGAGTTGATTTTTGACACGGGAATCAATGAATGAGGATAAAACACTGGAGGGGCAGTGAGAGGGGCTTGCGACAGTGGGTTTTGAAGATTGCAGTTAGCAGCTCATTCAGGAAAACGGAAGTGGGACCTTCAACTGTGAGACTCTTGATATCTGAACCAGGGTTTGTAGCCCATGTCTTTAATCCCAGTACCTAGGAGGCAGAGGCTGGCAGATCTGTGTGAGTTTAAGGACATACATAACATGCTCCAGGCCAGCCAGGGCTACATAGTGAGATCCTATGTTTGCTTTTTCTTTTTTTGAGACAGGGTTTCTCTGTGTAGCCCTGGCTGTCCTGGAACTCGCTCTGTAGTCCAGGCTGGCCGTAAACTCACACAGATCCACCTGCCTCTGCCTCCCGAGTGCTGCGATTAAAGGTGTGTGCCACTACTGATGGACATGAGACCATATCTTTTTTTTTTTTTTGGTTTTTTTCGAGACAGGGTTTCTCTGTGTAGCTTTGCGCCTTTCCTGGAACTCGCTTTGGAGACCAGGCTGGCCTCGAACTCACAGAGATCCGCCTGCCTCTGCCTCCCAAGTGCTGGGATTAAAGGCGTGCGCCACCACCGCCCGGCAGAGACCATATCTTAAAAAAAAGAAAATAAAGATTACCTGGCCAGAGAGATGGGTTGCTGGGCCAAATGGCTTTACCACCACTTGGCTGAGGGCTGTCTCCAGCTACCTCTAACAGAACTGAAGGCAAGAATAGATTACATAATCCATAAGTCTGTTCAAAAGTCATTAGCAATTTCCTGTTGCACATGTGGACAGCTGCCAGGCATGGGTGAGGTCCTGGGTTCCACACCTTTTAGAAAGCAATGTCAAGGGGGCACAGGAGCCAGGGCAGAGGCTGGGGGCCTCCGCTTGCTGCAGGGCAGGGACTCAGCACTACAGAACCAGGACTGGGGTAGGAGGGTCTCTGCTTGGTGCCAACAGCTCTCCCTCCTGCCTTTCCAGCTGTGCACTGGGGAGGGGGTGCCTACTGGGCAGCAGTCACTGCCAAGAGATGCCAGTCAGGACATCCTGGAAGAAGGTAAAAGCAAGAGGTGAGAGAGAGGGCTGGAACAAGTCAGGATGGGTGAGGAGCAGGACAGGCAGGGCTCAGTGCCCACGCCTTTAAGCCAGCACTCAGAGGCAGAGGCAGGTGGATGTCTGCGTTACAGAGGCAGGCAGAAGATTCAAGGTGGAAGATGGGTTTGAGAGCCACCCAAGAAGCTAGACTTACCCTCAGACCAGGAGCACAGTGTAGGACACAGGCTTCCTGACAGGGGCTACAAGAGATGGTAGTGGTGGTGCACGCCTTTAATCCCAGCACTTGGGAGACAGAGGCAGGCGGATCTCTGAGCTGGAGGTGGATCTCTGAGCTGGTCTACAGAGTGAGATCCAGGACAGCCTGGGCTACACAGAGAGAACACCCCCACCACACATGCACACACCAAGAAAGCAGGGCACGGTGAGGAGGACAATGCAGTTAGGAGGGCGGGGCCACAGGGGCAGAGCAGAAGACCCCAGAAGGAGGGTGTGGCACTGCACCTAGATGAAGGGGCCTTGGGCCGCCTGCCCAGCTTCTGGGACAACACATCCAGTGTGGGTAAGGCACGGATACAGTGGCACATAATTGAATCCCAGCACTTAGAGGGTGAGGCAGGACTATCACAAGTCCTTAGCCAACTGGCCTGCTTAGTGAAATTCTATCTCAAAAACAAGTTTGTGGGGCTGAGAAATGGCCCAGTGGTTAAAAGCCAGGAGTGAGTGCTCTTGCAGGGGACTAAGTCCAGCACCCACACTAGGCAGTTCACAACCACCTGTCACTCCAGCTCCAGGGAATCCAATGCCTCTTACCTCCACAGTCACTGTACAACACACACACACAAGGAGGAGACGCCTTAGTTGGTAAACGGCTTGCCTTGACTTTAGTTAATTCCCAAACCCACAGAATAAAAGCAAAATCCAGCTGGGTGCAGGAGCTGGGCCTGTAACACACCTGCACAAACAGGGGAAGTGTGGGACTCACAGGCCAGCCAGTCTAGAGACCAGTCAACTTTAGGTTCAGTGAGACTGTCTCCAAAACCCGAGGTGGAGAAACACAGAGGCAGACCTATCTGATGTGGACCTCCGGCCTCCACTGGCAAGCACACACCACTGTGGAAAGGCTCAGTCCCCACTTTTGCCTGACAGTCATGGCTGCCTCTGCGGGGGGGGGGGGTCTCCTCCTGACGGCAGGCAGTCCAGGGGAAAACCCAACCAGGAGCAGTGGCTAATCCTGGTGGACAGAGTGGACGAGAGCTCATGGGACCAGCAGGGAAGCCCATCTGCTATTTGGAGGCTGTTATGGGGGAATACCACCCCCACCCCCACCGCGATTCCCTAGGACAGGGACAGCAAGGCTAGGGTCTCTTTTCAGGCCAAGTGTTGAGGTCTGAAAAGGGAACTGGGCCGGACAACCCCAAATCATTTCTAGAAGGGCAAGGAACCCTTCAGCCAAGGCACCCCAGGTGCTCTCCCCAACTTCTGTCATCACTGTTGCTCACCTGGTGACCCGCACACATGGTCTCTGTGCCCTGAAATGGAGCCAGGGTCACAGTCCCCACCCTGAACCTTCTTGGCTTCCAGTGGCAGTTGATATTCCAAGCCTCTGTGTGACTCCAAGGCCCTCAGGTTGATATCTCAAACAGTGAGGGTAACTATGAGGGCCGGCTTGCCTGGAATGCGGTTTCCCTGGCAACTTGACTTCTGCTGCACCTGCAAGCTCCCAGCAAACCCTGGAGCCCACCCCAGTCATTCCCCTGCCTCCAGCCTGCCACCCTGGCCTCAGCCCCCTGTCACCTGCTGACCTGAGAAAGCGCCTCTCCTCTGGCGCCTCTCCCGGGCCCTTGTCGCTGCATGCACTGCTGCTCATGGCCGCAAAGGCAAGCTGGCTCCACGCTGCCTTTTAAGCAAGTCCCGTGGGCGGAGCCCTGTGACTGAGCGCCTTATTAGCAGGCCGCTGGGAGGTGCAGCGTGCAGCTATTGGCCAAAGCACAGGGTGACTTAACCCTGAGGTGTCCGGGCAGCAGACAGGTGTAGAGGGATCAGAGACATGCTGGCGTTTATTTGATTATTCTTTATTGTGGGCGTGGGCTCGGGCCCTACAGGTACCAGGAGAAGCCGAACCTGGCGTTGTCCAGCTCCTCGTTGGAGCGCACAGCGTACAACTCTTCGAGGAGGGGCGGCACCCAGCGCGTGGTGTGGAACATAGACTCGCCCACCTGCAGGCAGGGGCGGGGTCAGTCCGTCAGTCCCGGCCGGCCACCCCACCCCACCCCACCCCACCCCACCCCGGACTCACCTTCCAGTCAGGCACATCTTTCATGATGACAGCCTCCTCCTCCAGGTTCTCCCGAAGAATCTGCAGGGTCCTGTGGCCACAGGGCGGGGCTGAGATCAGACCCACCCAGGGTAACCACTGTCCCTTCCTTGACCGAGAGGCCCTCCCATCCTGGCCTACCTCCTGTCCATCTCTGCCTGGAAGAGCGGCATGAGGGCGATCCGGGCCTCCAAATCCTCGATCTGCAGGCGCCTGTGAAACCGTGACACCCACTCGGGGTCAAATGGGGCCACTGAGGGAGTATGGAACAGATATGACAGGGCCACAGGACGCTGGTGGGAGGGAGAGGGTAGGGGCAAGGCTGGCCACCTGAGTTGGGACAGGAAGGCAAGTCTGCAGCTGGCAGACACTGACTACAGCGGCCACAAAAGTGTTGGCTTCATATTTTCCTTTCAAATAAACTTTTTTTTTTTATCCTAAAAATAGCCCTGTCTGATGATCTGGGTGAAGAGGGGGCACACTCATCACCACCAGGCTCTGGGCCTTACAAAACCAATTTCCCTTTGTTCTCAAAATAGCAGGGCACTGGGCATGCAGGTCTTCCCACAGCTATTACCCCCCAGGGAGTCGGGAACTTCTCAACTTCAGGGGCCAGGGAAACAACCCAGTGATGTGGTCGAGGAAGGCCTCTGGTGGGGTTCTCTTTCCAGTGACACCCTCATCTATGACACTCATGGTCCTAGTCTTTCTGGCTTTCAGAGGACATACCTCCCATGGTCTGGTTCCTTTTTGGTGAGGTCTCATTGTGTGGCCCTGGCTGGTCTGCAACTCCTAGAGTTCCACATGCCTCTATGTCCCAAGCCCCAATCATATCTGGCCTGGTGACCACACACAGTGCCAGCTAGGAGACCCCAAGTTCCAGGTGTCCTACTGTTTACGCTATCCTGGACCAGGAGCAACTCAAGGCCAATCTCCAGCTCTTCCCTTTAGGACAGGAAGTGAGGGGTAGGACCCATACTTCCTGGCCCCTGACAACTAGCCAGCCAAGAACACCATCACCCTCACAGAACCCCTGGTAGTGAGCAGGGCCCTACCTGCGCTCCCGGTTCCACCTCATCATTCTCCAGTAGCCAAAGAGCAAGGCCCCGATGCCCACAGCGAACATGCTGTAGCCTGCAAGAGAAGTGAGGCTTCCTTCTCAGCAACACTGGGTCTCTGTGAAGTGTCTGTCTGCTGGCTCTCCTCCACACCTCCACAAGTGGCCTGTCCTTCCTCAGCCACTTCCCCAGGACAGTCTCCAACTCTTCTGCTCTGTGTTAGATATTAGGCAGTCTGGACTGCTACACTTTCTGGAAGGTATAGGCCAGCAGGGACACAGGAGAGTCCCAGGGTCTAAAACAGTGCTTCTCAACATGTGGGTCATGACCCCTTTGGGGTTCAAACAACCCTTTCACAGGGGTCACGTATCAGATATCCTGCACATCAGATATTTACATTACACTATGCAACAGTGGCAAAATTAGTTATGAAGTAGCAATAAAAATAATTTTATAGGCTGGGATCACCACAACATGAGGAACCATATTTTGTTGTTGTTTTTTGAGACAGGGTTTCTCTGTATAGCCATGGCTGTCTTGGAACTCACTCGGTACATCAGGCTGGCCTCAAACTCACAGAGACCTGCCAGTCTCTGCCTCCCAAGTGCTGGGATTAAAGGCTGGTGCCACCACTGCCCGGTGAAGAACTGCATTAAAGGGTCATAGCATTAGGAAGGCTGAGAACCATTGGTCTAGGACAAAGGTGCCAGGTATGGTGGTACATGCCTTTAATCTCAGCACTTCGGCAGAGACACCTGTGAGGTGGGGGTCAGCCTGGTCTACAGAGTCCCGAGACCGCCAGGCGACACACACAGAGGCCTGGCCTTGCAGGGCGGGGGCAGCACACAGACCAAACCATAAAACAGAAGGTCAAAGGCCTGGTCTCCCCCAGAGAGGGGGCTCCGACTGCACCACCAGAGGCTGGAAGTGCCCTGGGGCGCTGCACAGCCCTCTCCTGACTCCAGGGGTGGGGTAGGCACCACAGGTTCAGCAGGGTATGCCACCTGCCCTGCACCCAGGGAGACAGGGGCCACCATAAATAATTACTTAAGACCAGCAGGGCAGTTCCAATCCTGAGTGGCAGGACACGCTCCAGGGGCCATCCACCCATGACGACTACAGAATGTATGGAGAAGGCTGGGCCACAGGGGGGCAGAACAGGTTCTGGGGGTGAGGCCTGACTGGACCTTCCACTGGGTCAGGAGCTAAATATTTCCCACCCACTTAGTTCAGACTTTAAAGCTCATGCTCAGAAGCCAGGCCCTCCAGCCATGGACAACCAGGGTGGCTGGGTCCCAAGTCCAGGGGTCAAGTTCTCTGGGGAAGCCCTACGTTTTCAGGACCATCTCTGGCCAGTTGACTGCGGGTATACTCAGCCCCCACCTGACTGGGGAGGTGTCTACACTGGTGCTGCACCCTCATTTTCAACAGCAAAGAGAACCCTAGTGGCCCCAGAATCTGACCTGAGTCATTCCCCCCAATTTCTCAGAACAAACAGGCTCTTGTGGGAAGTTCTGGTCCTCAAGTGTGGGCACCCAAGTGTGGCCCCACTTCCTCTAGAGTGAGAGGCCAGGGATGAGGGAGCCACATGCTGACTTGACTCCCAGCCTCCACCTGCACCTGGCTGGCTAGAGTAATCACTGGGGTGGACTCCATTTCAGGAGGCACCATGGGGGAGAGAAGGTGCAGAACCCACATCTTCCACCTCAGTCCCCCAAGTAGCTGAAGCTGTGGGAGGCACTGCCACCCTGTGTCATTTGTTCCCAAATCAATGAACCTGTGAGCAGGTGGCAGTGCGAGATCCAGTACAGTCACCATCAGAACCTCGACCCTTCCCCCTTCGCAGAAACCCACAGGCAGGTCATGAAATCCATGTGGAAGTACCCAGGGCAGTTAACTACTGCTTCCAAGAGCAATGTTGCAGGATTCAAATGTGACAGCTCCAAACTCATCGGGCAGCTGTGTGTGCACAAAGACATGCTGGCAGAGGACAGTCACGTTTGCCAGCAGGACAGAACCAGACGTCCACAGTCCACAAATAAACCCTCACATTTTACAGCCAACTGGCTTTGGACAAAGATGCCACAAGAATTTAATGGGGGAGGAGCCTTCTCAGCACAGGACCACTGACCACACAGATGCAGAGTGCCCCTGCTCACCTAGGGACACAACTCCCGGTGGATGGAGGCCTGGAGGTAAGAGCTAAAGGTGTCCCATGGCTGAGGTCAGTTGGTAGAGTGTCTGCCTGCCTAACATGCTGAATTCCTGGGTTCCATCCCTAACAGCATAAGCCAGGAGTTGTGGCACATGCCTGTGATCCCACCACTTGGGAAGCAGAGGCAGGAAAATCAAGAGTTCAAAATCATCCTTGGCTACATGGGGAGTTTGGGGCCAGCTGAAGTTACATAAGAATCCATCTCAAAAAAAAAAAAAAAAAAAAAGAGGCTAGGTGTGATATCAATATCAAAAGCCTTGAGGCAGGTGTATCTCTGTGAGTTATAGGCCAACCTTGTCTACATAGAGTTTTAGGCCAGCCAGGGTAAAATAGTGAGTGAGACCCTGTATTTAAAAAAAGAGGAAAGAAAAGAGAGAAAGAAGGAAATTTTAAAAAAGAAAAGAAAAAGAAGAAGAGGCTGTGGTGGTGACGAAGGCCTTTAATCCCAGCCTGGTCTACACAGTAAGACTGTTTCAAAAACCAAAAATAACAACAACAACAATTATCACAGGGCTGAGCATGGTGTAAAAGTGTGCTGGTGATGCCATGAATGGGAAGCCATGTCCAGCTGCAGAGGAAGGAGGATGCAGAAAACAGCCACTCTGAAACCAGTCTGGGGTCTGCAGACAGAGAGGCTCCTCCTGGCTTCCCCAGGCTACCGCAGGCCTCAATGACCAGGAGCAGTGCGAGGTAGGAATGCTGACATATGGGTCCCACCAGCTGGGAGCTCTTTGAGACAGGACTGGTCATGTGCACTCACTGGCCAGCCAGACACCGGAGTGCAGATATGAACAGAGACTGACCCATCACTGCAGTATGTTCACCCCTTTGCATCTGGTGAGGTGGAGTGGGTCTGCACAGAGCAGGATCAGTCATCCCAGTACTTGGGAGGATGAGACTGAGGCACAAAGGCCAGCCTGGGCTACACACACACACACCAAAAACAAAAACAGTCAGGGCTGGATCCATGGCTAAGGTTAACAGTGCTTGCTACTCTTCAGAGAACCAAACCTTTGTTCCCAAATCCCATGTTGGGTGCCTATAACTCTAGCTCAGGGGATCTGACGCCATCTTCTGGCCTCCATCAGAACCTGCACTCACATGCAGACATGCACACACACATAGTTATATCTTAGCCAGGCATGGTGGTGCATTCCTTCAATCCCAGAACTTGGGAAACAGAGGCAGGTGGATCTCTCTGAGTTTGAAGCCAGCCTGGTCTACATAGAGAGCTTCAGGCCAGCCAGGGCTACACAGTGAGACCTGTCTCTAAATAAATAAATCTCAAAAACAAAACAAACAAACAAGGTTCAGGGCAATAAGCACGGCTGTGTCAGGATCTGAAGAAGAGGGGAAGCACATTGTGACTTCTAAACAAAAGGAAGGCTGGGCAGAGGGCTCACCTGGCAGAGTGCTTGCCTAACAGGCACGAGCCCTGGGTTCCACAGCCAGCACCACAGAAGCCAGGGTTAGTGCCAGACTCCTGTCATCCCAGCACTCAGGAGGTGGGAGCAGGATCAATCCAGGGTCATCCTAAGCTTCAGAGAGAATTCAAGGACTTGAATGAAACCTTGCCTCCAAATAAACAAATGCAGGAATACATAAAGATTAAAAATAAATAAACGAGCTATGCCGACTGAGGAGGCCACCAGCTCAATCTAGGTGCCCTGTGGGCACATGCTATGTAGAAAACATGTGCACGCCTGAGCAGGGCAGGGGCTTGGGTGTGTTATACTTCAGAAAGAGATGGAAAAAGAGGAACCGCCAAACGGCTCCGCTGGTAAACATGCTTGCTGTAGAAACTTGATGATCTGAGTTCAACTCCTGGAACCCACATAAAGACAGAAGAAGAAAACTGACTTAACAAAGTCTCTGACCGTCACATTCCCAAAGTCCCCATACACATGCATGCACAATAATAAATATCAAAAAACAGAGCTGGACAGTGGCGCACGCCTTTAATCCCAACACTGGAGAGGCAGAGGCAGGCAGACCTGAGTTGGAGGCCAGCCTGGGCTACAGAGGGAGTTCCAGGACAGCCAGGGCGACTCAGAGAAAAAAAAAAAAAAATAAAGAAAAAAAGAAAAGACAGAAAGAAAAGAAAGGAAGGAAGAAAGGGAGGGAAGGAGGGAGGGAAGGAGGGAGGAAGGAGACGGATTTGGCGCACAGATCTATTATTCCAACACTGCACTGCCTGAAACAGGAAGAGCAAGAGAAGGGTTCAAAGCCAGCCTGGGAAAGAGCGAGAGTCTTAAGAAAAAGAAAGAGGTGCAGGGGAGATGGCTCAGGGGTTAAGAACACTTGCTGTTCTTGCAGAGGACCCAGGTTTGGTTCCCAGCACCCATGTGGCAGTCCACAATTGCCCCTTAACTCCAGTTCCCCGGTTTCTGGTGCCCTCACCTGGCCTCCAAGGGTACTACACAAACAAGGTGCATAGATACATAGAACAAAACACTCACATAAAATAAAATAATTAAAAAACAAAAACAAAAACCTTTAAAGAGCACTTGCTGGCCCTGTGGTGGTGGACCACACCTTTAATCCCAGCACTCTGGGGAGATAGGAGCCAGCATCTCTGTGAGTTCCAAGCCAGCCTGGACTATACAGAGTGAGTTCTAGACAGCCAGGGCTACACAGAGAGACACTTTCTGGAAAAAACCAAACAAAGCACTTGCTGCTCACTCAGTTTGTAGCACTCACATGGCAGCTCACCATTGTCTGTTACTTCAGTTCCATGGGGTCTGACACCCTCTTCTGGCTTGCATAGGCACCAGACACGCATGCAGTCCTACAACTAACTTTGTAACCCAGGCTGTCCTTGAACTCAGAGACCTGCCTGCCTCTGCCTCCCGAGTGCGGGATTAAAAGAGTGTACCACCACCGCCCGGCTGGCTTTTGAAACAGGGTCTCACGATATAGTCCTGGCTGGCCTGAACTCTCTACATAGCCTAAGCTAGCCTTGAACTTGTAGTGATTCCATCTTTGCTTCTCCTGTGCTGGGGTCACAGGTGAGCCAACACATAGGTTTTGCTTTTTAATTGAAGCATAGTTTGCATAATATGCACAGTTAAGTCTGATGAATTAAAATCTAAATTCGTAGAGAGTGGAGTTACAAAACCCAGGTCCTCTGGAAAAGCATCAAGTGATCCTAACCATTGAGCCATCTCTCCAAGTCCCTGAGTTATTTATTTATTTATTTATTTTAAGGGGAGATGGCATCATGTAATGTAGCCTAGTTGATCTACGTAGCCCAGGATGACCTAAACTCCCGATCCTCCTGCCCCAGCCTCCTAAGTGCTGGGATAACAGGTGTCCACCACTCAGTACTATTTATGCCATGCTAAGGGTGGGACCCAGGGCTTTGAAATGCTAGGCAGGCACTATACCCCTAACTATTGTATTTTTATAACTTTAAGCACTGAGGGTAGGGACCTTAATGTTCTCCATTCTTTCCCTGTTGAAATCAATAATAAATGTTACTTTAAACACTTTAAAAATTTAAAGACGCAGCCCAATATGGTGGGCACATGCCTGTCATCCTGGCACTATGGAGGCAGAGGTAGGAGGGTAGGGAGTTCCAGATTGGCCTGGGCTCCATGAAAGCTTGTCTTGGAGGAGGGGAAAGCAGAAAATGCCAGTGAGGAATCTGCACTAGGGAGGCTGGAGTTTGCGACTAGCCTAGGTTCTATGCTAGGGTATAATCAACACACATAGAACCTTGGGTGGACCTGTCTGTCATCCCAGAACTCGGTTGGCAGAGGCAGGGTTGCCATGATTTTGAGGCCAGCCCGGGCTATATAGTAAGCCCCTAATTGCAAAATCCAATTTAAAAATTAAAAAAGAAAAAAAAGGCTGAGCATAACGGTGCACACCTATCAGGGCAGCCCTTGGGAAATGGAGGCAGAGACCAGAAGTTAGGTCATCCTCTGGTACAGTTTGAGACCAGCCGAAGCAGCCTCCAAATTCCGGGTTTGAGCTTCTCGCAGGTTTAATTTCCCAAACTGTGGAAGTCAACTGGAAAACTGGGGAGATGAACAGTGTGGCCCCACAGGGCGCTGCGACAGAAAACCAAGACTCTAACCCTGCCTCTCACTGTGTAAACTGAAGCCTGCGGGCTCCCCGCTCCCGCCCAGCCGCACAACCGAGGCCCGGCCTCCGACTTCGAACAGGAAGACACTGACCCGACAGTCCCCGGCGAGGAAGGTTCCGCTTGTAGTCGATGGGGCTGTAGCCCCCTGGCGGGGGCATGTCCTGCTTCACCTTCGATGCCGCCATACTTGCAAGACCCCCAACTTCCGGTCACCAACGGAAGTGAGGTGACGTGTGATCGCCATTTTGAGTGTGGCGGAAGTTTGGTCGCCCGGGTGGTTCTCCGACAATTCTGAAGCGTCCGCCAGCCCCGTTTGCTCTGGCCCCAGAACGGGGGCATGACTCAATGGTTGGCACCTGGAGCCCTCCTGGGCACCCTGAACCTTGCAATCAAAGCCTTGGCGTTCACCTAACTTTCCTTCCAGAGCGATGGTGGCCAGCCTCGAGGTTTGCACAGGTGGCCCCTTCCCACCCCCCACCTCCAGGGGCCAAGGCAAAGACTGGGTACCACCCAGCTAAGCACCATCACCTCAGGGGCCCATCCTGTTACACACTAGTGATCTGTCCCCTCGCCAGTGCCCTCTCATGAGGAACTGGCCATTCAGAGCGATTGAGTCACAAAGCCTGAGGAGGGTTTAGGGAGCCCGCGGGGCGGGGCGGGGGGTCCCCACCCCAAGGCTGAGTGACGCCCGCAGTCACTTCACAAGGCAGAAATTGTTACCCGGGCAATAAAAGTCATCGCGGCTCTAGGACCTTGGGAGTGGGCACATGGGGGCACGGGGGTGCAGGTGCCAAGCACCATGGGTTAGGCCCGAGATCGGAGTCCGGCCGCCCCCCGACAGCAGCCGCCTCCTGCTCCCCGCGCGCCCCGGGCGCCACCATGTCGGGCGACAAGCTCCTGAGTGAACTTGGCTATAAGCTGGGCCGCACGATAGGTGAGGGCAGCTACTCCAAGGTGAAGGTGGCCACCTCCAAGAAGTATAAAGGGACGGTGGCCATCAAGGTGGTGGACCGTCGGCGAGCGCCTCCGGACTTCGTCAACAAGTTTCTGCCTCGAGAGCTGTCCATCCTGCGGGGAGTACGGCACCCGCACATCGTGCACGTCTTCGAGTTCATCGAGGTGTGCAACGGGAAGCTGTACATCGTCATGGAGGCAGCAGCCACCGACCTGCTGCAGGCAGTGCAGCGCAACGGGCGCATCCCGGGGTCACAGGCGCGCGAACTCTTCTCGCAGATCGCGGGTGCCGTGCGCTACCTGCACGACCACCACCTGGTGCACCGCGACCTCAAGTGCGAAAACGTGCTGCTGAGCCCTGACGAGCGCCGCGTCAAGCTCACGGATTTCGGTTTTGGCCGTCAGGCGCACGGCTACCCAGACCTGAGCACCACCTACTGCGGCTCGGCCGCCTATGCGTCACCTGAGGTGCTCCTGGGCATCCCCTACGACCCCAAGAAATACGACGTATGGAGCCTGGGCGTTGTGCTCTACGTCATGGTCACCGGGTGCATGCCCTTCGATGACTCGGACATTGCTGGCCTGCCCCGGCGCCAGAAGCGCGGTGTGCTCTACCCCGACGGCCTCGAACTGTCGGAACGATGCAAGTCCTTGATCGCCGAGCTGCTACAGTTCAGTCCATCCGCCCGGCCCTCGGCGGGCCAGGTGGCGCGCAATGGCTGGCTGCGGGCCGGGGACTCCGGCTAGGAGCCGGGGTTCTCGCTGTTCCCGCCGCACCAGGCCCTGAGCCAGGGCGGCGCACGCGCGACAGGCGAGCTTCGGGAAACCCGCGAAGTCGCCGCGCGCCACTGCGCACGAGCCCTGTCCCTTCCCCTGCCCCCACGGCGGCGGCCCGCAGAGGCCGGCTGTTGGATTCTGGTTCCTCCTGCACAACCCGATTGCTGCAGGGCGCATGCGCATCCTCGATTTCTGGCGAGAAGGCCCCGGGAGGGGCGCGAAGAAAAGAGAGAGAAGCATTGCGCCTGCGCGGAATGAGTTCCTGCTGCGCGATGGGTGGCCCCGGCGCGGAGAAGCTGCGGGCCGGCGGTGCACTCCAAGTTCCAGGTTGGAACCTGCAATAAATTCGCTCTTCCTCGCAAGTGGCTTTAGCGGTGGACCCTTGTTACGGAGCAGAGGGGCGAGGAGGTCTCAGCACTTTAGAGAAAGCCATGTATGTGGAGATTCTAGCTTCAGACCTCAGAAGGGAGTTGTGGGATCCAAACACGGAACTTTTGAGTTCCCCAAACTGGACAAACTTCTAGAGGTTCTGTAGTCGTCCCCCGGGATGTGATGATGCTTGAATTGGAATCGGTGTGGATGAAGGAGGGCACTGCCTGTCAGCAGAAACTGAGCATTTGCAGATGGGGAAACTGAGGCCCATACAGGTGTCAGCTGTGCAGAGATAGCTATGGTTTGTACTCAGGTCTCTTGAAGCTGAGAGTCCTGGGTGGTGGTACTTTCTCTATGTTTACAGGTAGTTTACAGGGAGAGAACAGACCCAGCTACTGGTGCTGTTTTCTTTGTTGTTGCTGTTGGTGGTGATGGTGGTTTGTGTGTGTCATGCTAGACCACGGCTTGCTTACTCCAGACATCTCACTATGCAGCTTAGGCTGGCCTGGAACTTGAACTCTCCTGCCTACGCTTCCCAAGTTCGGGATGACAGGTGTGCAGCCCAGTTCTGCATGTCTTGAACCAGGACCTGGGACTCCAAGAGGCTTGAACCATCTTTGCCTTCAACAGAGTGCAATGTGACAATGCAAATGCAATGTCAAGTAAAATAAGACAAGACGTGGAAATAATTGTGAGTTGTGCGGAATGCCAGGTGGGGCAGAGATACCGTGGGAGAGACTGTGAAGCTGTTTGGGGGCTGTGCCCAAACCATTAAAAATGGCACAAGATGCCAGGAGTGTGGCACACACTTTTAATCCCAGCGCTCAGGAGGCAGAGGCAGGTGGATTTCTGTGAGTTCCAGGACAGCCAAGACTACACAGAGAACCCTGTCTCAAAAAACCACACACACACACACACACACACACGGGGGGGGGGGGGGGGGGGGGGGGGGGAGAGAGAGAGAGAGAGAGAGAGAGAGAGAGAGAGAGAGAGAGAGAGAGAGAGAGAGAGAGAGCGCGAGCCCAGGACAGAGTGATGCTGGGGAAGCTCCCGGGGCTGAAACAGGAAGGGAATGAGAAAATGAGGGGAACTAATGCAATACTTCAAAGGGGACCTGAAGAGGGAGGAGGCGGCTGGGAGTCTTGCCTGTGACTTTACAGGGGTTTGGTGACAGTGACTGGGAAACATTTTCAACCCTCTCCTGTCCCTGTATGAGGCCCAGGTAGTCTGAAGGGTGTGTGCTGTGGGTCTTGCTGTGCTCAGCCCCTGCTCTCCCGCTCACAGTGCTCTGGAGGTCCAGTGTGAGCTCTATCCTCATGTTGGGCCCCAACTGCCTCATTGGTAGATCGGGAAACTGAGGCTACAAGAGGGGAGGGGCCTAAACTCTAGTGCTGTCTGGAATGTGCCAAAGCCTAGGCAGAAACAACCCACCCTCTGGTGAACAGGGAGGCTCTGAGGTTACGGTTTTGTCCTCAGCACCATAAACACTGGGCAGGACACCATCCCTGAGACTTGGGGAAGGGTGTAGCTCAGCAGATTCCGTAGATGGAGTCGATAGCATCTTCCAGATTCCAGCACCTTCAGAATGGATCCTTATCTTCACACAAGCTGAACTACACCACCCGCTTCCCATTGCTCCTTGGGTGCTGGGGTTGGAACCCAGAACCTACTGAGACTAGCTAGGCAGGTGATCGCCTTCAGAGCAAGCCCCAGCCTCACTCTGGGGGATTCCAGGCATGGGTTGTACCCTATAAACGGAGGCTTTTCTGTCTGCCCAGTCCCGCAGTTGCTTTTAAAATAATTACTCAGAGGCTTAATATTAGTTACAAACATTTGGCCTGTTGCTCAGGCTTATTGCTAACTCTTACAACTTAAATTAATCCATTTCTATTAATCTATATTTTGCCACGTGGCTTCATGGCATTACCTATTCTCTAGTACATCTTGTTGCTCCAGTGGCTAGCTGCTCTCTCTCCCGACTCTGCCCTTCTCCCTGTATCTCTGCTTGGATTTCCCACCTGGCTCTATCCTGCCTTGCTATAGGCCAAAGCAGCTTCTTTATTAACCAATGGCAATAAAATATATTCACAGCATACATATGGGTTATCCCACAGCAGTATTCCTGAGCCATACCCTCAGATTTGTGTTTTTTTTTGAGGCATGGCCAACCTGGGCTACTATGTAACCCAAATAGAGCTTGGAGCAATCCTCCTGCCTCCACCTCTTGGGCAGTGTGATTACAGGTATGCACCCAAAAGCCCAGCTTCCCTTTTTACTTCTCTCCCCTCAAGATGGTCTATGTAGACCAGGCTGGCCTCAAACTCACAGAAATCTGCCTGCCTCTACCTCCCAAGCACTGAGATTAAAGGGGTGTACCTCTAGGCCTTTTTTTTTTTTTTTTTTTTTTTGGCATGTTTGTCTGTAAACATGTGTGTTCAGAGCCTGTGGAGGCCAGAAGGCATCAGATCCCTGAGACTGGAGTTGAAGATGCTTGTGAGCTGCTGCTATGTAGGTGCTAGGGCCAAAAATGGGGTTGTCTGCAAGAGGAGCCAGTGCTCTTAACTGCTGAGCCACCTCTGTAGCCCCTAATGTTTTAAGTCAAGTGTCTCCAGTGGTGCTAGGTGCCTGTCATCCCTGCCCTGAGGAGGTGGAAGCAGGAGGGTCAGTTCACAGGCCGCCTGGGCTTAAAGCAGATCACAGTGTGACACTGAGCATCTCAAGCTGATGCAGACACCGATGGGGGGACAAGCCCACAGCTCTTGTCCATGCTGGGAACGTTCCAACAGTGAAGCCCCATAAGGCAATGGGAAAAACAATCACTCCAGCAGGGTGGCTTCAGGTGTACAGAACTCAGTTGGGATTCTCACTGAAACCCCTGCCTGTTGAGTCAAACAGGATCTGACACACAGCAGGGCAGAGGGATGCCTTGTTCAAAAGGCATGTGCACCCCACCTTTCACACACACCCCTTTAAGAAAGGCCACCAGAAGTTGGGAAAAAATACTGGGGTCCCAGGAAATTAAAGAACAATACCGTGACATTTGGTCCGCTTCTTTATTGTCCTTCAGGGTCTCAGAATTCCCCGACACAAGGAGGCTACCAATTCCAGCTCATTTATTGGAACATCTAATCCAGTTTGGTGGCAAACTTTAGAAACAAGAATTATCAAAGATTTAATCACAATAAATACAAGTGGCAGCCCCAGCCCCCATACCCTGCACTACTGTAACTGTTGTTATACATGAGGATTTAGAAACCACTTTTTGGCAACAGTTCAAGGTCTTCAGGCTGACATGATTTGGAATGGTGAGGACCACCCTTCCCCAAACACCGTTCATTCTGATACTCACCCTAGCTCTCTGCTTCCAATTAAATGTGGCATGGGGGTATTAGAGCCAGCACTGCCCCCTTACTCCTGCCTGGGACAAGCTTTGGCTTCCCTGAGGTGGGGGTAGGGGTCCCAGGATGCTCAGGGCCACTGTTCCCCTGACCCAGGTGACGCTTGGGAGTCTGGCAGAGGTCTGGTTCCTGATGTTCCCACAAACTGGGCACCAAGCTGGGGGGTGGTTCAATGGGCACGTGCCTTGCACTTAGTCCCTTCAAACCTGTACATGTTCGCCCACTGACCAGAGCCATGGATACGTTTGTGATTGCCTCTGGGCAATCAATGAAGTAGGGACCATCCTCCTCCCCTTCAGCTCCCAAGTATAGGCATGAAAGTACCATGCCAGCCACATTTAACGCTTTTTAAGTTCTTTTTAAGTCAGGTGTGGAGGTGCAAGCCATTAATCCCAACACTCAGGAGGCAGATGACGGCAGATCTCTAGGAGTTGCAAGGAGTCCAGGACCCAGGTCATGAGAATAGGGATAGGAGCCAGCTTTGTAGCTGGCACCCTAAACACCTAGTCCTCCCGGCCAAGTCCTCAGCTCTAATGTGGCTATGAGGGTTTGCTGCTCAGGCCAGTGCAGTGCAAAGGGAACAGGCAGCACTTCCCAGTTAGTTAAGGCACCTCACACTCTCAGCCCTCCTTACACAGAGCATTACCAGTGTCATCCCTGGGCAACGATGCACCAGTAACCCTGGCCCCTGCTGTAGCCTGCCCCCTGTGAGGTGCACAAGCCTTAGGTGACAGGCCAATGTCAGGATGGGGAGCAAACAGCGGACTTGGAAGGCTGGAAGGGTAGAGGTCACAAGTGTGCCAACAGAGCCCCCTGGTCAGTTCAAGTGGAGGCCTTCGTCCAGCGCCAGGTAATATCTGATCAATGACTTCATGGAACTGAGGACTCTTGGATGGGAAGGCTTCTAGCAGAGGCCACCTAGTGCTGTTGCTCCAAGGAGCCAGAAGACATTGGCCATGTCACTGAGCAGAGGCCAGCCATCCAAGAAGGGTAGAAAATAGGAACTGACTTGCCAGGCACACAAATACTCAAGTAAGAAATGCTTGCATATATTTTCGTATTTTTTTGGTGTAAAAACTCCCCCTCCCCCAAAAAAGGGTCAATTTCTGTTCATTCCCCCAAATCCACCCTGGGAAGTGACTCAAACCTAAAAGCACTGAGCAACTTGGGTTTCACACAAAAAGATTTTCCAAAACTCGGAACTCCCGTATGTCTAAACAATTCCTAGAGACGGAGGATTTGCACACGAGTGAGCACGGGGTTAAATGAGCCTTTATTAGGAGGAGGTGGGGTTCGTATCTGCAGAGGGCAGTGGTCTGCAGAACAAGGGTTTAAATTAAAGTCCCTAACTGTATTGTGTCAAGGGAAGCCAGGGCTGGTCGAGATCTGACAGCAACCAATCCCTGCAGACGTGCAGCAGGCCACCCTGTGCGAGCTGGACACACAGCGCTGCTTCTGCCTTTCACCACGGAACCAGTTTTTAAAGAGTGACGGGAGAAGGAAACAAAACTAAAGTAGACCTGGCCCTTTCAAAGACATCCCTGTGGACTGAGGAGGAGTCGGAAGTAAACCCTGCCAACCCCAGGCATAGGGGTTCTATCTGGGCCTACCTGGGTGCCTCTTGGGCACCTTGAGATTGTGTCCATCAAAATGAAGAGGGAAAGGAAAGAAACTTTAATAAAATAAACCACAAAAAATTACCCAGCAGCCTCCCTGCCAGCAGCCAGCTCTGGTTCCAGCACAGTGGGCCCAGCATCCCTCTGGAACCTCTGAGACTCACTCTGCTCAGTGTGGAAGCCAGGGGCTGCGGCAAGCAGCCAAGACACACCTGGACCCATGGTGGCACCTGTCATCCCTGGGTGCTGCCACTCAGAGTGTCCTCTGGGGCTAGGGACTACACTGTGCACAACAGAGGCCCTGGGTCTACACAGTTCACTTTTAATTCCATCATCATCGTGAGGTGATTAAAAAAGAAAACACAAAAACCCAAACTCCAACCTAGAGATGGCCATGAGGAGGCTGAGACTGAGGAGCTAAGATGGGAAAAGCCGAAAGAGAACAAAACCCCGGCTCAACTTCGGGAGCCCCGGTGCCAGCTGGCCCGGGCATGTCACAGTGTCCAGGGTGAGCTCCCACCCATGCTGGCCAGGCAGAGCTGGCCCCAAGGTCCGAGTTTCTGCTGGTGTCGGGCAAACTAAAGGCAAAAAGGAAGAAGAAGGCCCACGGGGGAGGTCCCTGGTTCTGATCCTGGGCACCAAGGTGGCACCCTCTTCTGGCCACTGCAAGGCTAAATAGCCAAGGCCTGAGCTGTCTCAGGCAACTTGTTAGGAGGGTAGTCTGTGCGTCCTGGACCAGGGGGCCGCGGGAGAGCAGAGGGCCTGTCCTCAGCTGGGCCGGGCTCCCACTATTTCCATGTGGCTGATTGGGGGATGGAGCGTGGAGGGATCATGTCCAGGAGGTATTCCCGCTGACGGTCCACAGCCGAGGTGGTCTTGT